TAGATAGGATGCAAACTGAATAGCCAGAGGGTGTGAGGAATAATCTCTTCCGCTGAGATTTGGACGACCCGTGCTGGAAAATATTTATTTAACCCTGCCTGGAACACAATTTCCGTAAAGCGTATCTATCGTTTACGGTTTCCACCATTTGAATTGTTCAAATTAAAGAATCCAAATCAAGGAACTTGGAAAATAAAATCTTATTGTTTGATTGGTAAACATCATAGGCCTGTGAAGTCAAAAACATCATTTCTAGGCCCCCATTTTCTTTGAACTTGTTTATTTACTTATGACAATTTACTAGAAAATGAAATACACTACAAGAAAACCGAAATCACAATTTTAATGATTCTGTTATTAAGTATACATTTGATTTCATATTTAATCCTTTCTTGTATTTTTAGTTTGGTTTTGAAGATTTTTTTATTTTTAGGTGTACATTTCATGAAGCTTCAATTACATTTTCAAAATTCTCTCAAAAATGACGGCTTGATTACAATACTTTCTTTTCTAATGACGTAAGGGCGTGAAAGTAAAAAGTAAAGGCAACGGAGTGTATGAGAGAAACTGTCATAATATATCTTGAAGGAATTCATCTACTTGGACATTTTACACTTTCGTTTTTATTTTAATTATTTATCGCCAAAAAACATTGAAAATGTATGTGACAAATAGGAAAGGAGTACAATCTCTACACGTTTTCTTGAGCTCCTTCCCCGCTCTGTTCTACGGCTAGTTTAATTATGAAGAAAATTAGGAACGGGTGTTTCTGACGGTTGTTTAACAAAACTTTCTCCCTGTGAAATAGAAACAATTTGTTCCGGCAAACAAACTACAAATTTTATTTGTAGGAATATGACATTTCTTCCTCTCAATATTTTCACGTAATACATACAGAAATGTTATTTCAGATTTATTATTTACGAACACGAGCAGACTATTATTAGATTAATATACTTCGGGGGAGACCTAGTTCTAATGACGAAAAATGTTGACAATTGAAAGACGAGAGAAGGACTATTGAACATTTGATGAGCCTTATGATTGTGGTAATGCTTCTTCGTGTGAAGCTGAACCGAGCTTTAGCTCCGTTCGAAGACTTAAAACGAATTTAAGAAGTAGTGTGACACAGAAACGATTTAATAATCTTATCGTCTGCCACACACATCAGAATTCGGTACATCCCCTCAACTTAAACGAGTAAGCAGCCAGATTTATTGCATCCAGAGACGATCGCAGGATTCTTCTTCAGTCCCATCGGCATTGCAGGATAGATATTCCATGATACTTATGGTTAAAATATTTACTTAGTATTGCATGAATATATATTTGTATAATCTATCTATATATTTTGTGATGGTTTTATTCTGGTCCTATTTTGGAATTCTATCACAAAATTTAATAGAATCACGGGAGGAATGAGAAATTCATGACATTATTACGTGAAAAACAAGAAAACGAATTTCAAAATCGACGAGATTAGCAAGAAATAAAGGACGCCAAAATAAGAACGAAGAGTTAAGTGATCAGCGTGCACGAGTGAAGAATGGTGTATAGGTATTAATATAAAACGTGAGTAGAAACTTGATTAGGAAATAACAGTAATAAATAAAAAAAGGCAGATTATTAAGGAAAAACAATATAATAAGTGTAGCGAGTAACAGCCAATGAAAGAAAGCGATGTTGATGACAAACAAACATGATGTACAGAATCTAGCAAAGAGAGACGAAATTGGAGAACTTTTGGACAGGGAGAGGTATTTGAAATGCGAGTAATACAATTAGCAGCAGTGAACGTACGCGGCTACGGTGTGAGTCAGACGCAAAATGAACGCTTATTGTCGTGAGAACAGTTTTCTCGATAAGAGCAGTATGAATTGGTTGTAAATAGTATAATTTCGTTTGGTGAATTAATTAATTAATTCCATGAAAAATCGTTGGTTATAACTATATTAATTGCTCGCGTGCAATTAAAACCCCACAACTATAGTGTGATTTTTATATAGCCTCTCAAGATCCATCTTCAGGATGGAATATGCCATGGGATTTTGCGTCATTTCTCGGCCGTGCCTCTAGATGTCGCATGATCGCAAGTACTTCTTGATAAAGTCGCGATCATGCAACATCTAGCACGACCAAGAAAGACGCGAAATGCCTTGACATATTCCATCGAGAAGACGGGCCCTGAGTGGCTGCTATATAAAAATCGCACACTACCAATCAGAAATCAGAAAAGGGATCAAAATAATTTAATTATGCCACCATAACACGGACGGAGCCATGAATTAAATGTAGTTCATAAATGAGTAATATATATTATAACATTTAACAATCATAAACAATTAATGATTTTAAAAAATGGTGAAGAAAACGATGATTAGACACTAGCTGACTAATAGAACAACATAAATATTTATCATGAAAAAATTATATATTTTACATGAATCATTTGGTTTTAGCATGTTACACATGTAAATAACAGTTTTTCCGGCAAAAAATTGTCGTTTTCTGGCACGCGATTACGTAATATTCTCTTCTTACGAAGAAAAACGTAAAGCGAGAAAATAAAAATAGAAACGTCAGGTGTATTTACCTTTTCTAAAAGGTACGCCAACAAAACTTCTGTGTCGGAAGTGACTGTATTTTTTTTTTAATTTTTCCACTTTCCTACATTTAATATATGTTTTATTCTTCCTCATATCTGTCTTAATTTTTCGTGGGAAGGAATGTTTTAATGGCTTTGTCAGCTTCTTCTAATTTTTCATTCAGAATATGTTCGATACATTACATTTGCAATCATTTTTTATCATCTAAGTCACTATCATGATCATATGCACACAATTCAAGGCCTATTAGGACTTTTTCTGAAGCAATACGTCGTCATTAAATGTATGTCTCGAATGGTAATGATGTGCTTGACTTCCTCAAAAATTAAATTATTCTGAATTGGAAACAAAAAGATATTGAACGTAAACACATGGATAGAAGAATATAATTGCACTCTTGAAGAAAGAAGAGAACTCGCTCCTATCGTCGCTCGTTTTCTTGAACATATCTCTCGTACAATTACACCCCTCTTATCTACTAGTATCGTTAATTACTATAAAGAGTGGATAGAAGCTCGTGAACACTTAAGCAATATATGGAGTGCATTTAAAAAATATAATTGCGGAAAGTCGGACTTGAGCTAAAATTTTAACTCTGAAGGGGGCCAGGCAAGATGTTGTGAATGCCGTGAAATTTGAAAGGAGTCCGACTACGATATGACCGTTCAGGAGTGCATCACCTGCACTGTTCTTCCACACTATCCAACAACAAAATTTAATAAAAAACGATAGAGCCATTTTTGAACATTTTGAAAATGACCCAGGGGCTTCATGTAAAGTATACTCTAAAATTAAAATATGGATTTCAAATTCAAGGAGACGCGACGATCTATTGCGGAATGCCAATTTTGGAGAAAGTCGGCTGAACGATGTAGCGTTGTTCTCAGACGGACGGGCAGATGCTTGCGGTCAATCGATTTTTCGGTATCAAGGACCCTCAAAACATAGATTCTGGCTACACCACGTGTTAAAAGATTTTCCCTTTAATTTACCAACAGGATTCATCCACTTTTCTTTACCAGGGCCCTGTAATAAATTTTTCTGCCGAAAATTCGGCTTTTTTTTACGCAGCGTTACATAACATTCTCTCTACTGCGCTCTCTATAGCGGAGCGGTAGCGAGAAAGTAACAAACAAACGCAGATATTTTCTTTTACAATTTTTTAAGGATTTAAGTAGCATTTAAACGAAGTAAATCTTCTTAAACACATCATTGTGTATTTATCAATTTTGTATTTATTCATAATTTCGCGCCAAACAAGTTTTGAGAGGTAGTGTTTTAAGAGCTATCTGGCGGGTCGCACTTTTGTTGTTTTGGTGTCGCCATCTACTGTAGGTAGTGACTACTACAAGTGCTGCAAGTTGGGAGCTTGGATATTGAGTCCTGCGTCGGTTTATAGGAAACGGAGAAGAGTTTCAAATAACCATCTTGCATCGGAATCGTGCTCCGGTGGTTAGGGCTGCTAAGGAACCAAGCATTTTGGTAATTTATGCGAAATCTTGGTTCTTGCTGTCGGGTTCATTATAAGGTAGCAGTAAACAGTGCTACCAACAAAATGAGGTCGTCGACGACGAAAGCAATAAATGTTATAAGTGCGCATAGCCTGTCAGAAACACAAAATTATATTGCTTTAAAGGATATTTGTATTGTTAAAGATGTTTTAATTTTATTGAATCGGCAAAATTAATCAGAATGTTTTTGAAATACGAATAATGTTTGAGATTTGTTGGTGTGGCAATTACCCGAAAGCTTGCTGTGGGCGTGTATTTTAATGTTGTAATAGTCGAGATTGTGAGGGCCCGCTGGTTAATTGACAATTTAGATGTTAGAAATGTATGAAACTTATTCGTAAACCTGTTTATATGTTGTATTGTGTAATGTTAATCAGTATTTGCTTCAAGATCATTTGACTTTGAGATGTTTTTTATAGGTTTTGAATCATCAGCTGCTGTGACAATTCATTTGCTGCTAATTATGCATACACACATGCATTTTTTCCATCAGTAGGAAATGTTGAGGCATGAAAAATATTTTGAACTCTGTGAGATGTAAGTTTATGAAGCAATTATTTCATTTCAGCATTAGATGTGTTTTAAAAGTATAGAAATATCACTTATTCTTAATTTAACAGGTTCACATAATGTTTTTTTATGTGCTGTTTGAGGAATGTTTTCCCAACATTTTGACATTTCATGTTTATATATCATTAACTTATTCATTTCCTTTGTAGAAAACATGGAAGTTGTCAAAGCCCATTAAAATAATTATGTACAATCAACTACAGAAACAACCATAATCTTGTTGTTTTAGTATTTCAGTGATGACTTCCTTAGACGTCCAGTGATGATTTCCTGAATATTGTTCAAAAATGTGATTTTTCTCCTTAGCTTGCAGAATACCTGGAAGTAAAGAGAATGAGTTCTGAAGCAAATGGCAGCGCTTCTACCCAAGGAGGAGATATGGCATCCAAGGTGTGCTAAGTCATTTTTTTCACATCTTCAGTTACTTACATTTTGTATGATATTAAATTTCGTCTTTTTTAAATGAGGCACTGATGTTTTGTTTGGATGGACTGTATTACCAACATTCACTGTATTCAGTGATTGACACATTACACGATCTGGAGAGCAATACAAAAGAGATGCCAAAATGGCAGACAGCAGGGACATCTAATAAAGAGGCTCAATAAACTCTTTGTCAGCTTTATGAAAATACCATTGTGGAGTAGAGAGATAGTTGGAGGTGATGAGAACAGTTGGAAAAAGGAGTATTGGAGGCCACAAGGGTATTCAGGTAGAAGGGTGACATGTAACATTTCAATTTGTAGATCAAGAAAACAGTTTTGCTTATATTGTTCATTTCGATATTTCTCGCAAGGAAGCTATGATAAAAATGATCTCATGGCAATAATGCAGGGGAGCTTTGATATGAGACAGGAGACTAATAGAACAGGAAATAACACTTATCATAAGTGATTGCAGTGGAAAATCAAGGAAATTATTTTGGCAGATGGGCAACTATTCACTTCTTAATTGCCAGTTTCTTTCTCATAACAACCAAATGACTTACAAGAGCTTGCAGGTGAATACTGAATAAATTATGGTATTGCACAAGAAATCCACCTGCAGTTCCTCAATGACACATGTCAGAAAACTGAAACAATTCATCAATATTTATCATCCCATAATCTACTCTAGTGATGTTGATTTAATGATAAAATAGATTTCAAGAAATCAATATTTTGCTTATTGAAAACATACATACAAAAATACATACAACTTTATATTAAGTCAATTTGACAACACAGCTTATAGAGCATATTTGATTGGTGAAAGATGACAATAGTATACCACACTAAAGATAATTATTACTGGATCGGAATTCCAGGGAACGTACATGAATTCATTTTATTGTTTAATGTAGTTTTGTGTGTAATTCTTCTGAATAATCACGTATTTCAATGAAGATTCCTTCAGATGTTTAAATTCCTTATGTCCTTGCTTGTAGTTGGTCATATGATGAGTTATTGTTTTCAGTTTCTCCATAAGTCTTAACTGCCTAGATGATTGTTGCCTCACAAATATGCTTTTTGATCATTGTTAGAGTAGTGATAGTATTTTTCAATCTTCCACTGAGCTCGCAGTCTCCTTCTCTGCATTAGAAAGTAAATGTTTATTTCTACACCAAGTGCTTTGCATTCTTTCTCATAGCTAACACAGACATTTGACAGTGTCTCCTTCAAGACTCCTTCAGTAGTAGCTGGACAGGTGTTGACGGCAGAGAATTCTTCAGTGCATAAAAATAAATCAATATCTTCATGCTTACTGACATACAAGGACCTTTTGGTCTCTTGCTGTAGTTATGAAAATATCCTGATGATAGAGTTCTTAGAACGTGGACTTTCCTGTCAGGTTGTTCACTTCTAAATTGGGCATATGTTTTTTTTTTACATAGTATCAACAGATATTGCTGGAAAGTTTTTGGTTTTCTTAAGTGTTTCAAAATTTATGCTGTTGAGGGGATATTTTTTGAATAATTGACTGTAAAACAATAATTTTCTTCCCAAGTAATGAGGCATCTGTCCCAGAAGAAAATTAGATTTGATGTCTGCCTCTTACCTACTTTTAGACTGACTTTGCTTCTCTATCTTTTTGCCCTTTTTGAGCAGATGTCTGCTTTTCTTTTTCAATCTTTTTTTTTTCTTTTTTTTTTTCTTTTCTTTTCTGAAGGTCCTCTTGTTCTTCAGTCTTCATCCTCTTGAATTTTATTTCTCCATATCCATGAACTTTCTGGTACTGTTTAAGGATGACTGTCATGTTGTTACAAAATAGAAATTCATTTCTTGTTAAATTTGAATAGTTATTTCACACATATGTTAAGGGGAAAGAATTCAAGAACATAATTGGAACACATAGGGGAAGAATTCCAGAACATAACCTAAGCTAACAAGATTGGAACAATTGCCAGATAATACTTTATTTTCTTGAAGAGATTCTTACAGATAGAAGGAAACTTTGATTATAACATGAGGGATTTCTAGAAAGTAAGATATGTTATGTAAACACAATTTCATGGAAAAAAATTATTGAAGCAGATACAGCATATATTCCACCAGTTTTCCTCATAAACACAATCAGAATTAAGACATTTGTCATACCATGAGATCAACATGGGAACTGCTGCAAGATATCCATTGTGAGCTTGGCCTTTTGTGGCTGACTATATGACTATCCACATTATTTTAAACTCTAATGTACTATGACATCCATTATTGTTTGGTGTTTATTGTCGATAATATTACCGAGAAACATCTTACTATATCTAATCTTTATTGAAAACACTTTAATTTATTCTTATTTTTATTAAAGATGTCTGTCCTGTGTCAAAGAAGTCTGTATCCAAAAAACTTATCCATGAATATTTAAAATGCTATTAGATAGATTTTCACTTGAAGGTCTTACATTCACGTAACTATATGGGAGATCTCTTAAAGAGATGAGTGTTACCACCCTATTAGAACTTGCTGATAGTCAAAATCTGAAAACGTTAGTCCCAGGAATCCATCATCATTGACTGCAATGAAAACTTTAGTTTTATTTACCAGGATCAAACTATTGGGGTATTTCTTGCCATTCTGAGAAATAATATAAAATATTAAAGAAAAAATATGGCATGCCCTTTATGATTTACAATTGAATTATTTGTAGCCATTAAAAAAAAGCAGTTAAACTACAGTTTCCTCTGGTTATAGTGAACTTCTGGGGACTAACATATTAGAGGTTCACTATATTTGATAAAGTCAAAATTAAATAGAATTTCTCCATAATGATTAATTTTATTATAGAGAAACAACACAAACTGGAAGTTTGAATATCTTTACTTGTCCTTAAAAAATCAATTATTTTCAAATGTGGTTTGTTTTGTACTTTGTTATTAGTAATTTGGTATAGATTTTTCTCCAAGAGTTAGTGCTCTCTCCAGACTTGAGTCTGCATTATCCGCTGTCTCTTAAGAATCGTAATGCAGCCTTGAGCCAGTTGCCAGCTGCCAGTTGCAGCCCATACACGACACTGCCTTTGTTTCCACAGTGAAACTGAGTGGCATGAGGTGATCAGTGAGGTCCCCATTTCTCGTCCACTACCTTCACCTGAGGGGAGACTTCTTAGATTACGCTGATGTTTTTTTCAAGCTGTCTTGTATGGGAATTTGTGGCACTGAAGAAATTTATTATTTTTCAGGAGAGAATTAATATCCAGGTCATATTTCTTATAACCAAAGTTCACTATAACTGAGGTTTAGGTTCACTATAACCAATTCTTCTTATGCTTATTTGTAATGTAAGTGAAATGGAACCAGTGACTTAAGTTCACTATAGGAAAGGCTCATTATATCTGAGATCACTATAACCAGAGTTTACTGCACTTTCCAAAAAAAGTTGATTCAAAGAACGCAATGTTAAATTACAAGAAATAGGCTATTAAATGACCTATATCAGCTGCTAAAAGAGGAGATTAATTTTTTACAATTCCGTAGTCCGTTACTGTGGAATGACCTTTTAACAAGATGTGAAAATGATTAACCAGAAACCCCGTGTAAGATGAAAACTGTTAAAACTACTTTGAGCAGAACTTTCTGGAGGAGGTATAGCTTTGTCCCCAGGCATTTCTGGGAAAACAGGAATGTACTCTACAGAAACAGATTGGTTCCTGTGTATTGGGTTACTGTCAGTGATTGTCACTTAGTCATTTTTATTGGTTGAAGTATTGTCATCTTACTTTGATTTCCCAGTAACATAATTTTGCCAGTTTTGTAGCTTTTAATATTGTAACATTGTGAAATTTTGACTGGGTATGTGTGCGTGTGAGGGAGGGGGTGCATCTGTGTGTAATTTGAATGATACTCGTTTGAATTTTTGAATGTTCTGAATGGGAAGCATTGTGGCATGCATGTAATACTCACAGGCGTAAATCCACCCCTGGTACAAGGGAACTTTGGTACAGAAATGACTTGACCAAATAAACAACTTATATTTATTCATAAATTACAATCATAAATGCTAAACTTGTGTTTCAGGTAATGTGGGTCTTACAATGTCAAAGTGATATTGTGCTTTCCCCTGTTCATAGTGGGCCTTTTTATTTGCTTACTCACTTGGGTTATAATTGTAATGCCACAGAAGAGAAGGCATGCTAATTAGCAAGTGACCCCTAAGTGTTTGTGGGAATGTTGTTGTGGTGTTGTTGACATAATTTGTAGAGGAAATAATATGCATTGTCTTAGCTTAAATTTCTTTCCAAAGTTGGCATTGAATGGCTTTGCTGTCATCATCATTCTAACATTAGGTAGCAAAAATTGAAGCTGGTCAGAAGATTCATTAATGACCCAAATTAAAAAAAACTTGTAGTCAAAGGGGATAGTCAGATATTGGCCTCCCTCTGTCTTGTTTGCTTGAGTTTTTTCATGCTATTTCTGGATCCCAAATATTGATTGCTGGAGGACACACCTGAGTAAATGCAAACTATATGAAGAAAATCAAACATTTTCAAACCTAATCACCCCTGATAAGCATTTTTGTCGGTTATGCCCATGGCAAAGTGAGCTCTCTTAAATGAGAGCATTACAGTTTGGATCTAAAATTGCACTGCCATGCTTTGCCTCTTTAAAGGTCCCGCACATGACTAAATTTAGCCTCTATTGCATTGTGCATGGAGCACCAACAGCATCATGTATGCCTGAGACCCATGTGTAATGTAAAAGTTTCTTTCACCTATAAAATGACGTCAAAGGCAAAGTGAAATACGGCTGCAAAGATAAAAGCATAAGTAGAATATCTTTTTCATTACATGAATTTTACCAAACAACCTTTCCATTTAAACTGATATTCATGATTTCAATTTAATAGTAGATTTGACCTCAAAAGCCCAAGAGTCAGAAATGATTATGAAGTCATATGATGCCTTCAGACTTTCAATGGTCATGAATGGTAGGGATTTGTCTAGCAGCTTTAATACCTTCTTAATTCTCTCACGTGTCACACTGAATCAAAATTTATAGGAACCTATGACATCCTATCATGACATGTTATGTCCTGTTTATTTAAGTTGGATCTTTTCAGAAATGCCTTGTGAATAACAGGAGTGGGCTATACTGACAATTCCATCAGTAACAGGAAAGGATTAAATTCATCCAGGACTGGATTGCTGTCACTGACAGGCAACAAGTTACATATTGTATTATTTCATCTTGTCATGTTTTATTGACAATATATTTTGATTAGGATAATCAGACACGGCACTGTGTGACAACATCAGCTATTCTTGTTTTGTCTAAGGTGGGGCAGCTGTTTCTTCATGTCCTTGAAGTAAATTTTTGATTGTTATGTTTTGCGAAATCTGTGTCAATCACCTTGCCGCTTAATAAGGGTTGCATTTTTAATTGTTGGGTTCAAAATCTCAGTGGATATTGTATATTTCTGAATGTAAAGCATTTGTTGGCAAATGTAATGAGGAAAATAAATGGAGAGAGTGATAGACATCACAAAACCTGTGGCAAGTTATCTTCTCTTTGCTATCATGTTTTAATGTGTTTCTTCCAAGTTTAATTTGTTGAAAATAGTGCTTTAGAACAATTATGTTGAATGATTGAAGATCAATTTTATCTCCAGGATATACATGAATTGTAAATCATTTTCATAGCACTCACACTATTTGAACACAAGTTCTATTCAAATATAAGGCACACTGGAGTTAGAACAGCTGGTCAGTGGATATACATTGTCTTTCATTCAGAAATATACAGTGTATTCGAACTATTATTCCCCAGTGATCGTCCAGTTTGGCCTGGAGGCCTAAAGGGTTATCATTTACTGCCAGTGAGTGTGATTGAAGTTCTACAATTGAGGCCCCATTGAAGGTCAACCTGAAAGCAATTAGTTGCACTTCACTTTTACAGGCCAATATGAGAGCTCCAGGACAATTAGCTGCGGCATCTGCCTCCTCTGGCGCTGCAGTCGGTGGTGCGGCAGCTACTACTCCGCAGCCAGAACCCTCTTCCAGGCAGAGCAACCTGCAAAGGATCCAGCAGCGTAAGCAGCAAGTGTACAGCTGGCAGCACAACAAGAAATTGCTCAAGTTGGCCATCTACTCTGCTTGCCAGGTGTGTTGGAAGAGCTAATAAAAAAATAAAAATAAAAAAAAACAAAGATCAATACCACTTGGATTTATTAAACAACTGCTGAGAAATCATATCATGAGTTATGTTGAAATTCTTATATTTATTAATAATAAGACCTATTGTGACACCTTAATCTAATTAATTTACAGTCACCACTCCTCTTTTCTTTGTCCTCTTCCTGCCTTTCCCCCCCCTTTGAGTTAGTAGAATACATTTTAACTTGAATTTTTTAGTTGAGTGCTACTGTTAGAACCAGTAATGACCATTATTATATCGGTGTTACTTCAGTTTTTATTATTCTGGGTTAAAATTTACCATTTTGTTACTGGCTGAGGGCTTGTAATGCTATTTGAATTATCATCTATGTCTTTTTTATGCATACTGAACAATTTAATTGCTTTTTTATTGTCTTATGGAAGTAACCTGATGTAGGCTGAGCATTTATTTATCACAATCACATATTAGATGAATTATTAGATAGAAAAATGAGTGTACAGAAAGGATGAAACGGAAGTAATGTATTTGAATCTCTGTGACTCCCAAACATTTATTCACTCAAATTTTGTTCTCTAACAACACCTATCATTGCTTCAAAACTTTTCCTGTGGTTCTTTTCTTACTTTCTTGTATCATAAATTACAATAATTAATAAGTGAAATTTCAATGATGCAAAAATTGTATTATTTCATTTTAACTGTTTTTCATTATTATATTATTTAATTCACAATTTTATATTACTACATGTTTCTTACAAATTTTAACAATTTTCATTTTCCTAGCAATGATGTGTAACTTATTTTGTTCTGCATAAAGATTTTTTACGGTAATCAAAGTATAGACTATTTTCACAAAAACCTACTTTTGGTAAAATTTACTGAAATAAAATGTTGAATGTTCTTTCTTCGTGTTTTCTTGTTCTTGGAACACCAAGTAATAGTAATGCTTAAGAGAAAAGACCAACTAATAAAATTTGGGTGTTGAAAACCTAGAAATATTAGGAAATTTCAAAATGCGCAACCCTCCTGCAAGGAGCAGCAACCTGTTGTGTGATAGACTATGTGCTCACAGTACATGTATGTGTGTGTGTGTGTGAGCAGGCTGCCGACTGCAGGTGCAGTGGTTGGAAGACTGCTGCTCCCCCTGAGAAGCCTGCTCGTGCAGATGTAGCCAGCTTCACAGACCCTTGCCGTATCTGCACCCACTCTCTGAGTAAGTGAAAGTTCACCATTAGAAACAATATCGATTTTTTGGAGGAAATATTTCACTGCAAGCCTTTTATGTTTTGTGATTAGCAAAATTATTATTTCATTCATTTCTTTGAAAACTTCTATAATGCTTCTCTCCACAACCACTGGGTTATGTTGTTTTAACTACATTTTTTGAAAGGCCATTGGTTTGGTTTCCTTCATGGGTATTTTCATGTCCTTGTTTTTCCTCTCTGCCAATATTATTTGGTCATTCACAAACGGATAATTTTGTGTTGAGGTGTATGCCATTTTTGTTAACTTTTTCCACTCTCTCTTGTGTTTTGATCCTTCCTGAAGTCACATTGTCTTTTGCTCATTAAGTTCCCTCTGTGTTTATTGATTCTATTCAGTATAATGTTTGTTAATAATTTTAAAGTGGTTGGCTGTAATGCTAGCCCTCTGTAGTGAGAAAAGTCAGGAAATATTATGGTACCTTCAGGCAAAAATAGAAGAAATTTGATGTGTTTTAGGGGTAGAGCTAGAGGTTGCATCAGGTCCTTTCAACTGCCATATAATGTGGTGGAAACCGTTACAGTGGCGCGCTTTCTTGCAGTAACTTCTTACAGGAACTAAAATATGAATTGCTGCCAACAATTATTACATGCCTGCTGCAGGGGTTCGCGAGATCCAAGCAGACCCACAATGTTACAAAACATACCGTTGATGTTCACGCTTTCTTCAGAGGTTTCTTGTATGTATATATCATCAATAATTTAAAATTTTTCAGAACACTGTATTTCTCACAAATTAGCCAATTTGTATGTGGGGAAAGTTGGCGAGTCAAACCTGCAGCTGCACCTGGCAACACTAGCTCCTCCCATCATAGCACCCTCCAGCTTTGTTCACACTTTTGATAGAGAATTGCAAGGCCGTGGGGTGCACACAGCAAACATCTGGCTGACGCTGGATATACTAAACATGATCAAAGAATGGTTGTGAAACCCTGCAAGAACATGATATATCGATCATGCAAATATAGATTTCCCTTGTAGTAGTTTATTTGACACAACATGTCAATATTAGTAATGATTAATATTCTTTTTGAGTCAGAGAAAGGCTGTACTCTGATTGTGATGAATGTTTGTATCAGTTGTGGGAATCAAGGAAATTAGATAGATTTGTGAAGAACATTATAATGCGTATTTTCTATTGAATTTTTTTCAAGACATTAATGACACATTCACAACAATTTTTAATGTGGAAAACTCGTAAGAGTTTGTGCATAACTGACCTCCTTCTGTGGATGAATTTTCAAGAGATTAAAATCTATTAATTGTATGTAATTTTCTACACAATAAATACCTGAAGATAACATACTCCCATACGAGAAATGCATTTGTAATTGAAAATATTAAATTGCTTTCATATTTATAATTTTATATTTTTTAGAGAGATCTCATTTGTATTGTGTATAGTTTTTTTTAAAGGAAACTTCATTATTTTAATATCTTTTAAAAATCTACATAGTTTTGGAGATTAGAACAGTTTTTTTAGGATAGATTATTTACTTTGAGCATTGTTTTATAACTATGAATTTGAATTTTTCCTTTTCTTGTTAATAAATATATATTTTGAAAAAGAATATATTTCAGTGAGAAACATCAGGACAAATGGCATCACTGTTTAAGTATTTTGTGGAAGTCATTGACTTAATAAAAATAAATAATTTATCACTTCTTTTTTAATAAATCAAGTTTTAAAATGTGTAGATTTCATGTTGAAAAAAAGGTAAGCAGTTCGGTAGTTATAGTAGCAGAACTATCTGTATTTGTTCCTTTTTTTGTATATATTTTTACCTAACCTGTTTGCCAGTGTGTTGAATTGTTTTCTGCCCTTATTCTGAGGAAGAGTTCTACCAAAATGGTTTTCAGCACTCTACCTGCTTATTTCATGTCTTCTAGGGCTTTTCCTGTTTTTGGTTTCTAAGTGTACATGCTCAAATTCCTTTATTGTTATTACTTTTATTAGTTGTATTTCTGTGTCTAAGAACATGTTTTTGTTTGGTTTGTGATTATTAATATTCCAGTTTTGTATAATGTTTTATAATAAAATAAACATTGGTGACTGCAATGTCAGTTGCTGTTAATTATAATTAATTGGTAGTAGAGTTACTGTGTCTTAAAAATTTCAAGTGTGTGAAATCGTTATTTATTATTTATAAACAACAAACAACCAAACAAACAGTTTGGTTGTTCTCCTTGTTTGTGATATACAGCATTAGATGTGTTTCATTGTGTAATATCTGTTGCTAAAAGGTAAGTCTGTGTGTTAAATGAGTGTTTTAAAGTAGTTGATGGTTGATCAATGATCATTCCTAATGGCATGGAGTTTCATAGATTAATGGCTTTTAAAGAGAGCATGCTTAAAGGGGATCTTCCAAGATTCCTTTTTGATAAATTTGTACTGATATCACAACAATTGGACATTAAGTCTAGTCTTCAAATGTTGCTAACCTTGTTTCTTTTGAAACTTTTATTCATCATTCAACTATTTATAGTTAAGATGTTGGGAAGATAGTGTGGAGCACAAAAAAAGTTGTGCGGATGATACTTCTCTTCCACATGTCTCATACAGTTTGTATTGAACTTTGACTAAATAAATCAAATCAAGAACGTTTTTGAAAGACATCCATTAGTTTTTATATTTCTGGACCCCTTTTTCATTATACTTGCTTATTTACGTATGACATAATTTACTTGTAAACAAATAATAGTACAAGGAGAATATTATTATAACATGCATGATACAATTAATAATTCCAATTGATTTTATGATAAACCATCTTTTAGGGTTCACAGATGGTCTTGAGAACTTCTTCCCCAAATTTTGTGTGACAATTTCCCAAATTATCAGGAAAGGGAAAATCTGGTAGTTGATATGTTTGCAGAAATAAAATGTATTTATTATGTAAGGCTCCATAGCTTCTTTGAAAATTTTTCGGGTATACCATCCCCTCCCCATACAAAGGCCTATGCCTCCAATGTTGACAATTAGGCAATTAGAGAAAAAGGAACCCTGGAAAGTCTTTTGGAATTTGGAATCTTGGTTGCTCTTCATTAGATATTCTCCAAGTAAATACAAGAGAATGCAAAGAACAAGAGGTTGCGCAGAAGCTGTTGAGCCATCAAACTGCTTGTAATATTTGGTGCGAACTGCTCCCATACCAATTCATTGTGCTGGTTGTATTCAATAGTTTAGTCAGTCTTTATTTTTTGTTACTGGTAGATTAACTGCAGTGTTTTAAGTTTGATTTGTTTGTGTTGCTTAATTGTAATGGTAATTATTGTACTGGGCTAAATAATAATGATTGACAGTGGAGCATGTCCTGAAAATTAGTTTTTATTCCAATTTAATTTTTAATAATTTTCTTCTATAAGACATGCTAGAAGAAGAATGGTATTCTTGTATTTTTTTTTAAATTCTTAACTCTATCATAAAACCTTGTGTCATGAGTTTAAAATTGGTCCCCTGGACAATACCTTACAAGGAAAGAATGAAACAATTTATGGAAGATTGGCTTAAGGCATTCTGTTACTTATATTGTTCTATTTACATCATGAATATCCCAATGCAATTAACAAAAAAATGTGCTGCATGACAGATTATCTATTGATGAAGTAAAAATGGTAAAATCACTTGTAAAACTTCAAGTTCATTTTTCTTGAAACTGTGTTCTTATTAACAATACTGTTGCCTCTGTAGCTTCATTGACTAGAGGATATAGCGTTTGATTCCTGATGGTGATGAATTTTCGACCCTAGCTGGATTGTATTCAATCAGCGTCTGGAGAAGAATTCTAGCAGCTGGCTTCTTGGATCAGTAGTTTTCTGGGGTTACTCCAAATACTCTACTACCAGTACTAGAACGGCTCCCTCAACAAAAGAGCCATGGACTGTACAAATCTTTCCTTCCTCTTTATTTTCCCCTCCTCTTCCTTTACACATGTACATTTACATGCCCTTCACTACCACAGATACTAGGAGATTAATTGGGAGTTTGGAACATGTCCCAGCTGGAAAAGTGCCCTTCTGGGGGAGAATCCCACAATATTAACATTTTTATCGACCAGTTTTTTTAAATAATTAACAATACATACAGTATAAATACATGTAAGATTGCAGGGGGATGCAGTACTGAAGGCACTTACTTTCAGTATTTAAAAAAATCTTGAGCAGTTACCAGGATAATAGTGGATACAGTTCACGCTCTCTCACCCATGTGTCATCTGACCACCTTATGTCTTGCTGTAACTGTCCTTTCCCTCTGAAACATCCTTTGACATCTCTTGTTCAGGGTGCCACCCATCGGCTAACAGTGATCCTATCTTCACCTAATGCTAAACTAACCGGTGTTAAAGCTACTATTCACAGGCACTCCTCAATTTCACATCACTGGAACCTGTCTGTGCCATTCCCACATTCATTATAAAAACGTAACAAATAAATTGTAATTAATTAGCCCAAAACTAGAAATAGTGATTTGAAATATCACAGTTAATAATTCAGTCAAAGTTTCTTAAAAAAACATGATTTGACCCTTGCAGGACATTGGGTGAATAATCAGGTGTGCATAATCCTGAATTAACATATTTGTAAAAATCTGTAAAAAGTCAATACTCATTAACTGGTGAATATTTGAACAATGACTTTATATCAGGGATCTTGGCATGATTCTTGGCTGTAAGATCAATTTTAATTTACAAATTACTGTTACTTTTAATAAAGTGCTGCATATCCTGGGTTCTGATTTTGCACAATATATATAATTAGTGGTGCTACAGAATGGCACAGACTTTCCCTTATTAGTAAGTTTTCTAATTTCTTCAATCAAAACAATTTTTTCGGTTTTACCGCACCCTATTCCCTGTTGCCATATATCACCGCATAAACTAAATTTTTTCACATTTTATCACTTGCAGGACCCCTAATGATATGACTTTAAGAATATTATGGAAGAATAGGGTTTGAATTAAAGTAACCCCAAATTTAAAAAAATGTGTTTCATAATCGAAGAGCTTTCAGAAGCCAGATTGACGAGAATATTCATTTTGGAAAAAGCCTATAAATAGTTTAGGTGCTAGCATTGTTTGCAGATGGATGGGCATTTTGCTGTAAACCAACTTTTTTTGTTACACCTGACACATGACCTACATATCATGAATTCTGACTACATGTGGTGGAGCAAGTAATTTACTACATATTGAAACAAGATTTATCTTCTCTTTCTTCAACAAGGCCCCCACAATACAAATTTTTCTGTCAAAAAATTGCTGTTTTTTTGAGGACAAAGTTAAAATGGATGATTGTTTGTTTAAGTTTGATTAACTCACACACTGTATGGCCAATCTCCATGAAAGTTGGCACATCTAAGTGTTTTTTCATGGAGAAGTATTTTATGCTCTTTAGTTTGTTGTAACTCTCCACCAGATGGTACTGCAGGGCAAGATGGTGCTTCAGTTAAATGCAACTACTAATTCACATGGGCTTCTTTGTTGCTGGGCATTGTCATATGATGCAGGAGGGGGTCGAACATAACAGGACGATCAGGCGGAATGTAGACGGAACAAAATCCCTAGGAAACAATAACTTATAATACTGTCAACAAACTATTTAGAAGCACCAATTAGTATATTGATTTGATTGAGATTTTTGATCCTTGCTTTAAAATATTTTATAGATCCCTTAAAATTCTTTTACTCTCTGATCCAAAGTGTATTGACCATCATTAATGTTGAACTACTGAATTCTGAATATACTACTTCTGTATGTAGTTCTCTTATACTCATGGTGCATGCCTTTTATATTCTTTTAGCAATTACCTTTTTTGTATTTTTATTTTTCACTTCTTCATATGTAACCTGTGTGACATACTTTGAATAATTATTTGTATTTCGAAGAGTGTGTCCCATTAAGAAATATATTTCAAAATACCTACCCCGAAATCTATCCAGAGACTATCTCTGCTAATTATATCAAAATCCATTAGAAATAAGTTTTGGCAAAAACTGATTCTCTTGATTTGTGAGGGAGGAAATTATTTTTTTTCAAAACTGACCACTTAACAGTGTTGCGTAGTTGTAAGGCTTGCATTTATCCTGAAGGTTTGATCTTTAAATTTCTATATCTTGAGTAATGTTGAAAAAAATTTAATAAATTTAATTGTGAAAAAAAAGTAATTTGTTCATTTTGTTCACATGTTTCAGAGGATCATGTGAGCCACTTGGAACCGTTGACTGAAGATGAAATAAACCGGTTGCTTGGAATGGTGGTGGATGTGGAAAACATTTACATGAGCATGCATCGTGAAGATGATGTTGAAACTAGGAGAATTTACAATTTCCTTTACAAGGTACAGTTGTGATGATTTTTTGAGATCTGTTGGGAGTGATGTTGTCTGCAGTGTTGCTATTTTGTATTCTAATTTCATCCCTAGAAGGCTTTTATGTTTCCAATAAAAATCTGTTAAACAGAATTAATTTCTGCCAGAATAATTTCAAATTTTGTTACCGTCATGTTTTAAATATATACCGTATTTTATACAACTTATATTAATTAATGTGTATTCATTATATGATTATCTACTTGTTTTAAAATGGGCACTTGCAATAATAATTTTTAATTCACAATTTACGATCAGTTCTCAATTCTATTTGTTTTAAATACCTTTTCTAGAATGTGTAATTGTGACAACACACATTATTCCTTCCTACTCCAAGTTATGTTGTCACTGCAGCATTAACCATTGGTAATTTCATTCTGGCCTCTGTGTTGTTTTTACGATGCCTGTTTGTCAGAAAATTGGTTGACCTTCTGCATTTGAGTGCTAGCACCAGCATTGAGTACTCCAATTTTTGTATTTTCATGTATTTCTTCGGTAATCCCCTGTAATTGTGTAAAATCTGATAAATTTACTACTAGCAACAATAGAATTTTTTCTCTGCTGAAAAATTTCAAAATCTAGTGGAAAATCTTCGAAAACAGCAACACTACTTACCTGTTTTTGGTATTTAGTGTGAAAGTGTTGATGTAAATGTTGAGGCTGTTCCTATTCTGTTGCAGCTCTTGAGGAAATGTATTTTCACCAAGGCAAAGCCAGTGGTCACAGGGCCTCTGGAGCAGCCTCCTTTTGAGAAACCAAACATCGCAAAGGCCATCACCAATTTCGTTCTCTACAAATTTGGACACCTTGCCCAACAAGTAAGAGATGATGCATTTCCCATTGTTGAGCCTTAGTTAAAGAATGTTTTCTGTTATTGAAAAGTTGTGTATTGTTAAAGAACATTATCTGTTTCTGATGCTGAAGGATCTATTAATATTGAAAAATAATGTGATGAGATTTTGAGGTATTATTTAAGGAAATAGTTTGTAATTTTTGTATTTGAATAATTCTATTGATTTGATTATCAAATTTTCAAACTTTGAAGAAGAAAGAAGATAATCTTTAATTTTCTATGTTGTATTTTCCAATGTGTACATTATCCTGCTTTGTGAAGTAACACTAAGTAATGATTTTCATTTTAAATCTGTCTCTTTTGAAACATTTAAAATAGATTGACTTTCACATTTTGGTAACCTGATCTTTATATTTGTAGGAGTTTCAGACAATGTATGATCTGGCTAAGATGTTTGTCCATTGTCTCAACCACTGGAATTTTGAAACTCCCAGTGCTCGCCAGCAAGTGCTTACGCAAGTTGAACGTGATGCATACCATATTAATTATGCCAGGTGAGGAAAATACTGGTGCCAATTCTTTTTTGCTTCCTAGCAGAGATATTCCGTAATAACTTACAACTTTTTTTTTGATAGTTGTGGTTTCTTACAGCAGTCAATTTATCATTGATATTTCTATTGAAATATAGTTAATTGTCAGTTTTTTTTAGTCATTTTGAACTGTACCTTCTTGGATGTAGTATATATGATAGTCTGTCACTTTAGATTATGAGAGCATACGCTTCCGCAGCTGGAGTCAGTATTTACTGGGCTGTCTGCGTTACCCCGCGTCCATGGACAGCCTAGTAAATACTTTAGATTATGTTCGAATGTCCATTGATCCTAGGTTATCTATCGTTTATTTCAGTGCCCTTGAGATAAATTTTACGAAGTTTTATGACAGCAATTTCATTAAAATAATAAATGACGAGGTGTGTGTTAGCAATAATATACAAAACAGATTTTTTATTTGATCTTTCACTTTTTGTTTACTCTGCGGAGTATAAAATAATGTGTACCCTTATCAAATTTAGAGTTCATTTTTCTTGTGAACTTTTTGATTTCTTTCATTGCAATGAGTGCTAAATATTTTCACTTTTGAAAAAAAAAAAAAAAAAAAAACTTTTGTGCTTGGACAAACTTATTCAACTTCATTATTCTTGTTTTTAGATGGCTAGTTTTTTGTCATGTTCCTGCATTCTGTGACTCATTGTCACACTATGAGACAACCCTGGTGTTTGGCCGTAAACTTCTGGCAGCTGTTTTCCAGTCTGTTCGGCGTCAACTTTTGGATAAATGTCAGAGTGAGCGTGATCGCATGCCTCCTGAGAAGAGAGTTCTGATCCTCACGCACTTTCCCAGGTGTGTGACATAAAAAATATTTTTGAACACACGTGATACTAGCCAGTATATGTTGCAAAAATTGAATTATATATAATTCATGCGGAATAAAAACTAGTATCAAATGTAATTGTTGATGGGATTCTAGAAACTTTGCAATTTTTACATCTTGAAATGTTTAAAAAAATAATATACAGAAAAATAATGTTTTTATTGTGTGGTTCTCCTAAAACAAATTTCCTTACTTACCTAATTAAAAGAGTTTTAAATTGTTTTGGAGTGGTGGAGGGAGCATGTGTGTGCTTTGAAGGTAAAACATGGTCTCAGAAATTAGTGAAATTATGGGGTGGGAAATTATTATGTTATTGAAATCAGTATTTTTCATGTGGAGAAGAGGAAAGAAAATTACTCGCACTTTCTTAGGTATTGTAACATGTCATTCAATATTATCATAGCTGAAAATATTGTAAAATTACTTGGTAAGTTCTTTATCTTACTTGGATGTTTGTGTCGATAACAGTCAAAAGATATGCAGTTAATGTCAAACTAAAATTAATAAAACATACAGTGCATTGTGTACATTTGTAATGGTGTTGTTCTTCCAGCCAGGTCAATAATTTTTTTGGTTGACTAATACTTTCTGCAAGTGTTATTGTTGTTGCTGTGTCTCTTGATAATAAAATAATTGATCTAGCTTGAGTTTCAACCAACAAATAATCAGGCTTAGACTGCTTAATATTAAAAATGGGCTTAATTGTGATTTACTATTTGATTAATTTTTAAGCCATTTTTTGCTACTTTTAATTAAAAACTCTTCAATTTTTGAAATGTTAGCTCTTTCTCCAAACCAGCCTTTTTCTTTCTTTTATCAAAGTAAAAGTAAATATTTAACTGTCAGTGACTAGCAATGAGCATTAGGAACTACAGCTTACGAAATGAACTTATGACTGATGTAAATATTCCTAGTTGCAGAATCAGCTGGGTCAATTATTTTCTTCATACTAAAACTTACTGTTGTTGTTGTTTATAATTATTATAATAATGTGGGTGGTGGTGGCGGCAATGATAATTTTTATTTTAGGTAAGTTTATTCCCATTTGTCATTTTCAAACTGTTGACTGTGAATTTTCTGAATTGTAGGTTCCTTAGCATGTTGGAGGAGGAGATTTATTCAGCCAACTCCCCAATTTGGGACCCAGATTTCAAGCAGGCTCCTCCAGCACACCTAGTGGCAGCTGTAGAGGGGAAGGTGCCTGCTGCACGGAGGGCGGATGCAGAGAACAAGGCAACTGCTGCTGGCGGGGCTTTAGGGGAACGGCCAGGCGCTCATGGAAACACCATTGGCAAGAAGCGGCTACGGGAGGGAGCAAGGTATTTACTCTTTCTCTTTGAAGTGTCTGAACCAGAGTTATACAGGGACTGAGTTTCAGAAACCAGCCAATATCTCTCTGCTCCATTCAAATGTGAGGGTATTGGGATGAAATGCATTGCTTTCAAATTATAGTCTACAGAATGATTGGAAGGAAAGACTAAATAAGTGTGATTATGGTAAATACAAATTACGATTTAGTTAAAACAAAATGCAGTGAAATCTCTATGTAGTGTAATAGTAAAAACTAATTTTTTACCATACATGAAGGTTTACATTGCAATGGGGGGTCAGGTAATTTCAAATATAAAAAGCTCAAATTTTGCAATTTTTGTTTTTTAATTAGTCAAGTACAGTTGATTGTCTTTTTTTAAAATTTCAACATTTTCAACAGTGGAGAGAAATCAACCGGAGATGAGGTGGGAGCCAGCACCAAAGGCACTGAGAGTAAGAAGCGGCGCATGGCTGACCCAGCTGAGGATTTCTCTGAGGAGACAGTTGCTGAGATCATCGCATCCATCAATGAAGCTAAAAATGTGAATGGATCAGTGGTAAGGTCATAGACCAGTGATTTTCAACCTGGATGCCCCCAATGTCCGCAAATGTGATGTGGCGTCTAAATAACAGCTTACCTAGTTCCCCATGACCCTAAATGAGTGCCAACTTGACTATCTCTCACAATATAGAGTGTGTTTAATTTGGTGCTATTTTGTGAACAGTATTTGATGTTTCTGATGATTTCAGAAGTGTTGCAAACACTAACTACTCTGCCAATAGCATTTACTAATTTTGCATCACATTGGCAGCCATGAAAGACCCTAAATACTTTTCTGGAGATTTGATAATTGATCTCTCTTTTGGTTTTCAAAAAATGATTTATTGTTGCATAAGTGATCCTGGGAAGCCATCTTGCTTTTTGCCATGTTTGTTCCTTTGGGGGAGCATCTAAGCTGTCACAGGCAGTGTTATAACAAGTGAATAAAAATCATTTTTGTAGATAGAGGGATCTTTCAAAATACAAGAAAAAAAAGTTTTCATAAGAAATGCATTAAAACAGCAATTAACAGCATTAATGAATAACGGTTATCTTATTTTTGAGACCATGAATTGTTAACCATGGAATGGGGAAACTAATATTTTTATGAAAACATCCCTCTTCTAAAGCTTTTGTGTGCTTTACAATTTCAGCACAATGTTTAATGTGCTGCAAATTGAAAAGGTTGAAAATTGCTGTCATGACATAAATATTTGTGCCTTGAATGTGCATGCCAAACATGTATGCTGATCAGAAAGTGTCGTGTGTGGAAGTAAAGTAGAAAAGTAATTTGTATTATTTTGCTAACTTGTAAACCACAAAATTTAATTGAAATTATTTTTGGAAAGGTGGTAATGTAATGTAGTAGTGTATGATAATTAGCTTTTAATTGTATGTGTAGCAATGTAAGAGCATTATGTGAGTATGGGGATGATATTGTAATTTTTGGCCAAATTACTAGATTCATTTGCTGACTTGCTTTTTTCTCACTTATCTCTTAACATTTGTTTGTCATAACATTATAAGTGAAACCTGAATGCATTGGTCCCAGTACCATCATGTGCCAACTGGTTCCATTTTAAACACCATGGTTCTTTCATACTTCTGTCATATTCTGATCATTTGTCTGCACTAATTTTGAAAAATTGTGGCCTTAATGCAACATTTTCCCCCATCCATCATTTTTGGAAGATGAAACAAAAAATTAATTAGTACTCCATTCTGGGATGTGCATGGGCAAGTAGGGATTTACATGTGGTGGTGAAGTAGGAGACAAGAAAATTCTCACTGAAATATGTTAAATTATTTTTTTATAACATGCTTGACATGGACACTTTATAGCCATAGGTATGTAAACATTTTCAAACTAATCTTCTCAACTGTTTTGGAAAAAGCATTCAAATTTTGATGACTTGGAAGGAAATGTCACAATGTATTAATACTTTTTTAAAAAAAGGCAGCTCTTTTTTTAGTTTTTCAGTTAATGTGTTCAGTTGTATCTCATGTAATGTTTTAGTTATTTTTTCATGTCTGTCGTTTTTCTGCTTTCATCATTTTGAGTTTTTCATTTCTTGGAAATAATGCATTTAGATTTCACTATATGTTATTATTCTCTTCCTGCTGCCAAATAGTGAAGTTGATGTTTCTGTGGATGTCGGGAAGGACAATGGAGTGGAGTTACTGAGAGAAGAGGAAAACCTGATGTGAACATTTATTAGAAATTGAAAGGAAAAAGAAAAAGATAGACATTTTATAAAATTATACTACAATTGGATCTACTTTTGTTGAATTTATAATGCAATTGAAATGCTATTGAAGAGACTTAGGGAACCTTATAAATTAAAAATCATAAACTGATTCCTATCTCTCTCAGAGCAATGGAAGGACGAGTATAACTATTAGCATACAGTATTGGCAGTTCCTAAAAATAAATTGTGAATTAAACAAGTTATTTTCAGCTAAAAATGAAACAAAAAAACAAATAACAAATCTATTATTGCTTAATTCAGTGGTTAACTTCTAGATCTGAATATAATAACATCAAAAAATTTAAATTTAACTTATGAGGCAGTAACCTAATTTTATGTTCCCTTTTGGATTTATTCTCAGGATCACTCACTGAAGGCAAAAGCTACTGTTGTTTATTACTTTCTTTTAATTGAATCAATAGTCTAATATATTTTGAGTAATAAGTCATTATTAAATGAATGGAGTTGTTGATAAATTTTATTTTCTTCTATAAATTTGTTTAAAAAACAAACAAACTAAAACTACTATTCTTTCATCAACTTATTTAGGAAAGAATACACTTTCTTTTCTAGATTCAAACAGCTCATGTTTGAACTTCTAAAGATGATGTTTATGACTAAAATCCTCTTTATTTTTGTTATACTGTTCAATTATCTATAAAATAATACAGTTTCTTACAGTAAATAGATTTCTTGCAATACATTAACTATAGCATGTTATGCTTACATTGGATGGGAAATATTAATTTAGTTTGCTAGCTGTAATAAATAAAATTCATGAGAACAAGACATGACACATCAAGTGTTAACCTCAAACTACTCTTCTAATTTGTTTATCATAAGAGTGACAAATTGAACCTTTTCGGTCTATATCTTTTGGTTTGATTAGTGAAGAAATGAATGACATTACTTAATGAAAGAAATGTTTGTTGATCAGAGTGTGAATCAAATTATTTTGATATTTGGTGAAGCTCTTATTCATTCATTTGGGGATTTTTATTTTATATGATCTGTGTTTTTCCTCATATAGTATTACTATTTTTTAAGTGGTCTTCTGAAATTTCCAACTTGCGTTTAATTCTAAAAATCTCATAATGAATAGAAGCTGTAAATTTTCTGCTTTCTCAGAAAGATAAAACATTTGATAAAAGAAAGTTTATGTTAGAAATATTAAAACATTTTCATATGTATATTGCTGTCAGTATCAGCCAAAAACTAAACTATGTCATTGTCTTGTTTTGATGATGAAAGAATGCATGTTACAAATACTTCAACTCCTACGATTGTGTGTGCAGGTGCTGTTTCCTGAGATAGAGCCACGCGATGCAGTTCCAAAGTTAGAAGAAGCTCGAGGTCTCATCAAATTACACGTTGTTGGCAATTCATTGACACAACGTGTTTCTCAACAAACTATGCTCTATCTTTTGGGACTGCAAAATGTTTTTTCAAAACAATTACCAAAAATGCCAAAGGAATATATATCTCGATTTGTTTTTGATCCGTGAGTACATTTCGTAAATATATTTTGCTAGTGATACCTAGTGCTCAGTTTTTCTGCCTCATTTCACTTTCAGAAAACATAAGCATTATTTTAATTTTTGAAAAGGTAAACCGAAAATATGATATTGTGCTTGTTTCCATAATTTCCGGGATAACATGTTGATTATATTTAATATATTGTGTGCAAAATGTAATTATTAGAGATTTGTGAAATATTACTGGAAACTGATTTTTAGCAGCAAATTCTTGTAGCTAAAATTAGCAGTAATTTTGTAGGTTACTAATTTCAATAACTTGCTCTGATTTGGTCAAAAAAGTTTTTGAAGTTTGTTGTTGTACTCGTGGGTGCGTGTACTTGCGAAAGTTAAATTTGCTAATGAAAATTTTACCATTGTGTGACAAGTGATTTAATGAAATGTATTAAATTATTTGTCTTTAATTGTTAGAATTCTTGAAGACAAATGAAAATGCAATTCAAGAGAAAGATATTATATCACAGAATACCCTGATTGATATAAGCAGTGCTTATAAAATTTTATTGACAGCTGTCAAATTCTCTTTGAGACATTGTCATGGGATGTGAATACGGATCTATAGTTACTCGAAAAGAAATGCTAATTATTCAGTTCTGATTCTGTGATTAATGCTTTTGCCTAGTAAATAAAATATAATAGTCAATATTTTGAAAACAAATCTTGTAGAAAGTAAGAGCATGTCCTACAGGCAGTGTAACATTGCCTTTGTTCCTACAAAATTGATGCAAGCATAGGTTAACCTATTATAGTCAATCTAAAATCAGTTTTTGCTTTGGAGCTGATTTTTAAAGTAATTTCAAGAGTATAGTTCTTTGGGTTTCTCACACAGATCTGGTTATCTAGAGTGCGTTCTAGATTATCTAGAGATCTGGTTATCAAGTTCTAGATTACTTGCCTATCAAAGCAGCGTCATATTGCAGTGTGACCAAATACTGTCATGTTACCTCCGAGTACAGTCAGTGTTTTTTGCTTTCTTTTTGTGGCTTTGTGCAGAACTTTTGGGGCTCTTATTCCTGTTTGTAACGAATCGACTCCGACAATCTGAGATTGGTGTATGAAAATGAGTGGCAGAATGAGGAAATTCATATTAGTATGAAATGGGATTAATTATTTTGGCATAAAATGATTGGAAGTCATGGAATGATTGGAAATTGGTCAATGATTGGAGGATTTTTTGGTGTCTTCCTACTACTACAATTAAGAAAATAAACTTTTTTTCTTCATGAAATGTAGAATGAAAGAAGAATCATGAAAAACAGATCTAAAAACAATGTCATGTTGAATTTTTAAAAAGCATGAATTATTTTTGTGAAATTTTGTGTCAAACACAGGCAATATTTATTTTCTTTAAAACATTTTTTTCTTAAAAGCAGCACAGCTTTTTTTGTTTAAATTTAGATTTTTGATAGCATTACAGATATTTAAGAGAATGGAGAATTAAAATGTCTGATTTTTTGAAAATAAAAAAAAAAAGTCATCTTCTTATAACTACAATTGTGAAGTAACAATTTTTTTCCTAATGAATTGTTTTCATCAAAACCGATCTTAAAAAAGGTGATGTTGAATTTTTTGAAAATATGAGTATTTTTTGTGTAATTTGGCGACAAACATAGTAGCTCGTTTCAAATTCTCTGCGCATCGTGAATGTAATTCCAGGCAGTTGAATGCTTGGTAAGTTAGAATTTGTAAATTATTTCATATTTCTGTGTTCGTTTCTTACATTTGAGCTTTTG